CACTCTACCACTTGAGCCACAGCACCACTTCCAGCTTTTTTCTGCTTATGTGGTGCTGAGGAATTGAACCCAGGGCCTCAGGCATACAAGGCAGGCATTCTACCACTGAGCTACCTTCCCAGCCCCCCCTTTTTTTAATCTTTGTGTATGTGTGGGTGGGTGCACACCAGTTTTGAGGTTTAAACTCAGACTCTCACAGTCTTGCTCACTTTTTTTGCCCATAGCTGGTACTCTGCCACAGTTTTGTTTTTGTTTTTTGTTTTGAAAATTGAAGATAAAATCTTTTGGATTTGTCTGCCAAAACTAGCTACAAATCATGATCCACAGATCTTAGCCTCCTAAATAGCTAGGAATACAGGCATAAGCTAGTGGTATTTTGGCCTTGCTTTCATTTTTTTTTAGTAATCAATTTTATATATTTAGAGAAAGATGAGTACCTTATAGATAGAAAAGAGCACTATTAACAGAAGACACAACCCTGAGCCTTCACCAAAGGTTGCTGGTGGAACATAGACACCTTAAGAATAGAGTGATAGCAATGAGAACTAGAAATGTGCTGCCCCCAAACACAGATTAAAATTGTTTTTTGTCTGGTGCCAGTGGCTCATCTGTAATCCCAGATAATCAGGAGGCTGAGATCCAAGGATCAAGCTTTAAAATCAGCCCTGGAAGAAAAGTCTACAGACTCTTATCTCCAGTTAACCACCAGAAAACCAGAAGTGGCACTGTGGCTTAAAGTGGTAGAGTGCTAGCCTTGAGAGAAAAAACTCAGAGACAGTGTACAGGCCCTGAGTTCAAGCCCCAGGACTGACAGAAACAAAAACAAAAAACAAAACTTTTTATGCCTAGTGGAACTCCACATGCAAGCCCCAACCTCAATCTGTTTTCCTGATGGCCTCAACAGACCCTTCTTCCTGCCCTCAAATTTCAGCTCACAATTTCAGTTTCTGACTAGGGTAAACTTAGCTGCTTATACTGCTAGTATTTTTTAATGCTATTCAAATGTTTGCAATGTACGTTTTAGGAATAGTTAAATGAAATATGTTCACAACAAGGGGGAATAAAAAAGGTACCCCCTAGATATATGACAACTAAAATGTGCTATGTGATGTTAGACTGAATCTTGGACCAGAAAAATAGTAGTGATAATAGCCTGGCCCAGGTCTGTTATTGAATTGAATAATAAAAGAAGAATGTGAAAAATGAGATGTTCAGTTAAAACATATTCTGCTGAGCAGCAATCTCTTATCTTCCTACTTAGAAACTCCTGAACCATATATCTTGGGCTAAGTTGTGCAACGGATACGTTTGGTTATGAAATAATGAAAAGATAAAATTGTGACATAATCAGCCAAGAGTTCCCTCACAGATCTCAGTAAGTTAGTGGGTGGGTGTCAGGAACTGGACCATGCATGGCAATCATGGGTTTGGCCAC